CAGTGAGGCGAGCAGATGCCACGAGGCCCTGCTTCACATCTCAAACTTTTTCAGTACCTTCTTCCCTTCTATCTTTTGTTGCCTCACCTTTCCTCAGAAGTTCAGAGGCCTATTTTGAGCCAAATGTGCATGCTGGAAGCTTTTTTACTGAAAAGAAAAATGAGCGAAAAGCTAGAAGGTCCAGCTAACTCACCTTATAAATTAGGAATGGGCGCCATGAAGCACATGTACAATTTGTCTCCCTAGAAACTTTGTCAGTCTTGGCACAAGCTAGTCTGCTCAAAACAGATAATTGAATCTTCCCAACAACTCAATTCTTCCACCTCCCTTTGAGCAATAGTTCATCACTTAAGTCAGATCTGCCAAAAGGACAAACATTTCAGCCCATTTCTCCTATATTTGCATGAATATTATACACAGACTGTTACGCTCCTTTGAACTGCAAAAGACCTTTTTATTTTTAGCCCCTTTGACTACAACTTCAACAACACAGCATAATGGAGTTACAGAAAAATCTTTTCCCTGCTGAAGACCTCAACTGTGTTTCCTGGAGAGTAACAAACTTTTATATAGGCAACAAATGGCTCGTTCATCTACAGCAATGCACCATCAGCATTTCCTGGTTTCTTGAGCGTGTCCTTATGATGAGAGCAACTGTAACTACGGCTAATTAGCTACTAGCAAGTGACAACACCCACCTAGATCTTTTCTTGTGAAAGTAGCTTTCTACAAATAGAGAATTCTGCCCCCCCCCAGACTTCTGCAGATTCTATACCAATGGAGTACACATCTTTGACCATAATGCTGTCTCCAACCTCAATCCACCCTGATCTCTGAAACAGGAGAGCAAAGAGGCTACAAGCCTGGAACCTTCCTGACCTGGAACCTTATATTTGAACCAGCCTACGAAAAACCAAAGTCCTTGGCTTCCTGAGGAAGCAAGGAAAGATGTGAACTTATCGGCAGCACGGAAATATACAAAGGTGTATTATCCTTATTATGTTTACATATTTTATGAGGATTTCCCAGTTTTCTTTTTACTTTAATTAAAAAAAAAAGCTTTCTCTTTCACCTTCATACCAACCTTTCCCTAGATTTAAATGTATAATTAAATGACAAAAACATGGGAATTGAGATTTACTTTTAAATTAAAGGACTTTTCCCACATTGTAAATGTTATTCTTGTCAATTGTGTGAATTCTGGAAAAAGGAGAAGAAACACACACCAAAAAATGACATTTGTGAACCCACCTTCCAGAGATTATTTTTAGAAATCAGTTTTCTATTGCATACCATATAGGAATATAAATTACAGGTGAAGGAGAGTAAACCCCAACTTATGGAAACCATAGAAGGAAATATAAGAATATGCAGTGGGAAAGACCTTCTTGGGAATAATAAGACATCTACAAATGATAAAGGAGTGAATGAGAGAGAGCTCCTACTACACAAAACTTCTGTATGGGAAAATATAAATTCAGCTAAGTGTAAAGCAAATTTCAGATTAGGAAATTAATATTTAAAATACAAAGGTTAACAACAACTTTTGAAATAAAATGTTAATAAGCTTGTATAGAGCAAACACAACTGAAAAATATACAAGTTACTGAAAAAATACAATTGGATTAAAAAATGCTCCTGTAAAAGAAAAATATCAAAGCAAACTTGAACTATGTTTCCCTGCTGAACTGGCCCTCACACACACAGATTAATAATATTTTTGGTGAAGAAGTTAGAAACAGGCACTCATATGGATGGTATACAAACTGACACAATTTTTTGAAGGATAATTTGCAGTACTTACCAAGATTAAAATTGAACATACACTCTGACCTAACAATTCTACACAAATGCTTCACTAAATACCTAAAGGTGGTCATTAATGCCCTATTTGTATTGTCCACACTGGAAGCAACCAACGGAATTAATAAAATTTAAAAAATAAATAGGGATTGGATAAATAAACCATGGCACATTTATGCAACTGGAAACTGCAGGCATTGGAAAGAATATGGCCCTGTTATATGGTAATATTCTGACATGGAAAGATATACTTGACATATTTTTGATGAATAAAAACAAGTTAAAGAAAAAGATACATAATACTCTCTTTTGTAAAAGAAAACCTGGACAGGCATGTATGTAAGCTTTTATAATACAGTTTGGAAGAAAACATAGCAAACTATTAGTAATATTTTCCTCTGGAGAGTGTAATGGAGGTAAGAAATTCCTTATAAAGCTTACGTATTTTCATATCATTTTCTACAGTGAGCACATATTATTTTATAATATAAGAAAAAATAATATAGCATTTTTAGTGCTATCACATTTTTTTTTAATTTATTTATACAGAACTAGGGTACAGGCCAGAGATGCAGAGGGTGAGAGGATTCACCAGGGACAGAGTGGGGAGCAGAACAGGCAGATGGACGAAGTACACTGCTGAGGGCGGGTCAAGAGAGGTCTGCCATGCCACGTGGTCCCCTCCGGGGCGGGCGGGGATTGAACTCATGGGGAAGTGGCTTTAGCTTCTTACTGCTGTGCTTTAACCCGCTGCGCCACCAGGGAGGGGCCGCTATCAGATTTTTAATAAGCAATATTTGCAATGAGAGCTTGATAAGATGGACTGTATGGGTCATTAATAATAGCCACTCCCTTATGGATTAACATCTTCACTGCTTCTTGCTCACTATTAGAGCAGCAACATAAATCTCTGCATATATGTATATGTGCTTGTGTGTATGTGTGCACATGCATGTGAAGGCAACAAACAGGGCCTATGTTTTGAGAATTTCCTTTTAGTGGAGGTGATGATACACCTCCCTTTAGATAGTTTATATGTGGCCACACAGAATGATGCTGAGTGGCTCATTTGGGGAATGACCATGCCTTTTTTTTAAAGATTTATTTATGCATACAGAACTGGGGTACAGGTCAGAGGTGCAGAGGTGGCGAGAGGATTCAGCAGAGACAGAGTGGGGAGCAGAACAGGCAGATCAATGAAGTACACTGCTGAGGGGAGCAGCGGGCAGGTCAGGAGAGGTCTGCCACACCATGTGGTCACCTCCGGGACAGGGATTGAACTCGCACTGAAGAGGCCTCCTTGCAGTGCTGTGTTCTAACCGGTTTCGCCACAAGGGAGGGCCTGACCATGACTTTTAACCTCATTATCTGACTATAAATCTAAAGCACTACACCAGAACTGGTGCCCTAGATGATGGGTTACAAAATCTCTTTGACACCCAGTGAATACCAAAATGACTTGAGACAAATTCATAAGCAGAAAAAAATAAGTCAGAGTGTGATAGTTTTTGGTCTATAAATATATTAAGACATATTTTCCTTTGGTTTGTCAATATTTCTCAATTCTTCATGAATATGGAAGAGTTCCCAGAAGAGATGATCTTCTAAGACTGCAAGATTCCCCCATCATGTCATTTGTAACAGGCCATAAAGCAAGTTTCTTTCCACAAGAGGAAAGTCCAGCTGATTTTAAGTCCAGCTGATTATGACTGAGCTGAGAGGAGATGGACAACTTGTTGATCCTAGACACTTGAAACAAGGAGGACTTCTGCAGAAGGAGAGCTCTGAGATGAACTGCATTCACGTGGCAGGAGAAGGAGATTGAGAACTACTAGGGGCAGGGGGACTCATCCACATTTACCTCCCCCCCCCTTCCTGCCACCCTCTGCTTTCTCCAATGTGTTAGTCCATCACACGGATCGCTGACTTTCTAGAAATATTCCCTGGCTGCAGGGTCGTTCCTTTCAATAAATGACATCCAATTTGCTCATGGTCCCTGCGAAAGTTCCTCTTCTGCCCCAATCATACGAGACATCACCACATTATCAGTCATGCAGAAAAGTCCAATCAAAAGCATGGTTTCTCCCAGAAAGAAGATTAAGTTTACTATGAAAATCCTAGGAGGTCAGAAACCTACTGAAGGGAGGAATGGCTCCGCTCTCCCTGTCAGCAAGCCTCATGCCTGATCTATTTCACGTATGCTGATAAAAGAGAGAAATGTTTCAGTGATGGACTTCAGATGCTGTTTCAGTCCCTACCCAGAATATTTTCTCAGTTCCTTCTCATGAATAAGTTCAGTGGAGCAGACAATGTCCCTCTTGGACCAGTTCCACTTCTTGCTTCTTTTGATGCAGCCAAAAAGTGGAACTAGAGCTCTGATTTTTCCTTCAAATTTAGAGCAAGTGTCCATCTCAGAGGTGGCTGCAATTGGCCCAAATAAGGTGAGGTTCAGAATGTGCAGAAGCAGCAGAAAGCCCCTAACAAGAGCGGAGATGTCAGTGGTTACTTATCAAGCTCCCAATGTGGCTGCAAAAAAGGGTTAATTATCCCCCTTCCTGCCACACTCTGCTTTCTCCAATGTGTTAGCCCATCACACGGATCGCTGACTTTCTAGAAATATTCCCTGGCTTTGCAGGGACGTTCCTTTCAATAAATGACATCCAATTTGCTCATGGTCCCTGGAATCTCAATTTCCTCAAAGGATTTTTCATCTGCATCCAGTTCATGTGAAGGTTTTTCCCCCTTCGTTTTTCAGCATAAGGGAATAGGCAGAGCTGCCTTATTATTTTTTTTTCTTCTTTTCTGTGTTATTCTTTTTCATAAACTGAAAACCTTTGCTGAAGAATCTGAAATTTGGGAAAAAATCCAGCTCATCTGTCGGATATTTCTAGAGTTACGTAAAATGGAATGAGATTTGTACAGTTTAGAACAGGAAAAGGAAAATAGGCTAATGTGTCATGTGTTCTATGAGATGACAACTATATATGATAATCAGAAAAACAGCCTCAAATTTAGTTGGCCCGATTCAAAGCTCTCGTTCTTTTATCAACTCATGCATAAACCAGTAACATTCACTTTCTTCTCTTAGAACAATGGCATGGCCACATTTGGGCTAAATCACAATGCCTCCAGATTATAACCACATTTTCAAAGAAATTACAAGAAAGCATCTTGGTTTTCAAAATCAAGACACTTACGTTTCACTTGCTCGGTTTTACTTCCTTCGAGGAAAAGAAAGAACAGCAACAAGGAAAAGATGTATTTCGTGCCTCCCATTTTCCATTTTTTTCTCATTTTGGCCACTGCAAAAGGCAACTCAAAACTCGCAGGACCCTGTGTACTCAAGCTGTTGGGAAGAAAGCAAAAAAGCCTTAAAATAGATTCTCTGGAACTGATTGAGCTCATTGATGCTTACACTTCTCACTGGTTAGGGAGAAATATGCTGGAGAATTTACAAAAATGTAAGCATTATCTTCCTGCATAAGAAAGAGAACTTGCCACTCCTGTCTTGCAAAGACTGGGGTAGAAAACTGAAGCCAATGAACATGCGTTCCTACGCAACGCGAAGGCTAAAATCCTACAGGCAAGTCACAGGAAAATAAAAATAAATTTGGAAATCCTCCTTTCTAAGGGAATTAAAGTTGATTTCTCAAGAGATTTTCTTTGGGAGAAAAGGGAAACTGGGGTTTGCAAAACTTCTACTTTGGCAAGCAAGATAAAAGTAATAGGCATGGGACCCAAACAATTTCTGAAATGAAAGTTAACTAATCTTAGCTTTAAGACTACTGTTATTATTAATCCTTCAGGGAGGAGGCACACATTGATCAATGTTTCTTCTGTGTCTGCTGTGAGAACTGAAAGTACCTACAGTTTGGCTACCTAATGACAGATGCAATTTGCAGTGAATGAATTAATTACGTGAATGGTTCAGGCATACTCCCCTCACATGAAATTCACCGTGGGGTGAAAATTTAAAACAGGACATTTCTAAGGAAAACAGACAATCTAAATGGGCAATGTGTTCACACTGTACCACCATGCAAAGACCATCAAAGCAAGTACAATTCCGAGAGGTGAGCCTGCATTTCCCATTGAAAAGCTTACATGCCTGGGGCTGCAGAATGCAGAAAAGTTGCTATAGCTTGTATCTTTTGATTTTAAAGACTGCAAGCGCCTTCCAGTGGGGACTTGAAAATATTCAAATATTCTAGAAACACTTCTCTCCAATCCCAGGTTAACTGGATTGATCTTTTCAGAGGGTTATACCTAAATATTGATAAAAAGCTGGAAGGAATGCAGGATGATTATATTAGAGGACTGAATTCTTTTGAGTATGATGTGGATGAAGCAGTTCCTACTTTAAATGCTGTGAAATTGTACAGATAAATCTCTTGTTTCAAATTATGAATATACAGCCAAAGATAAACTGATCATAGAGAATAATTTATGCTGCCACTCAAGATCTGCCACTACACTGTGCCTTCTCTCTCTCTCTCTCTCTCTCTCTCTCTCTCTCTCTCTCTCTCTCTCTCTCTCTCTCTCTTCCCTGCTCCCTTGAGGATTCAATTCTCCTAGGACGTGTCCCTAACCTTTGAAACACCTGGGTTCAGCCTTCTTGGTTTTCTCTGTGAGATTCTATCCACCATCACTTTGCTCTCAGCTACCGGGTTCCTTTGAAGCAAATCTTTTCTGTGAGCAGTTTAACACAGCCACCCACCTACAATGAGGTTCTTCCTGACCCTATTTGAATAAGACCCCACAACCCCCTCCAGCCTCCAAATGAGAAAGAATTTTTTAAACCACGGAAACCCAATTTATCACATTCACCTAGGGATCTCAAGGGGTATTTTTTCAAACCACAGTTTTCTGGGCTCCCCATGCAAGAATCAACAGGGTTGTTTTTCTTGTACAATGGTGGGGTGACTCGGTGAACAGTAGCATTGCTTCATAACTCAAACTGGCAAGAAAACGACCCTTCAATTTTTTTTTTTTTTTTTTTTTGCTTTTCTTGGGTCCCAACTAATGTTATGAGCAAATAGTAAAGCCAGTGACTGGAGTGCAATTAATCTTTTTTGGCATTCTTGTCATCTGCACGGACTCCCAGACGGTGGTGGAGAACACCAGAAAACGAATCGTTTTATAAATATTCACTTTTGATTTACAAGATCCTGAAGCCTGCCTTTGTATTCTGTGAAGAAAAATAGACCAGGAAGAGTTCCCTCCCCAGAGCTCCTCACCATTCAATTTCTCCTCAACTTTTTAACTTTGGGGGGGGGGATGAGAATTGTTCAGACATTTGTTGAGACTGCAGCAATAAACACCAGCAAGTACTGCTCAGCAAACATGCCCACTCTTATTCTTGCAAAGAGCCAAACTGTCCTTAATTTTTCAAATTATACTTTGACCCAGTTAACTGGAGTTATTTCTGCATTAACTCTCTGTTTCACACAGGCTGTTGTGCCATTGAAGTTGTACTGCCTCCTTTACAGGTTACTTTGAAATGTGTCCATTGACTTGTTTGAGGGGGGCTCTAGTTCCCTAATAAGAAAGCAACAAAGAAAACTAAACCCTGCTACAAACAGAGGGGGAGGGTGACTGGGCTTCACAGGAGAACAAGAAACAAGTCAGAACCTACAGAAATGTATCAATTAAGGTGCCTCTAGGAAACAAGCATTCACATTGTTCATTTGCATCAGGCCAAGAGACCAAGACCAGGAAGCAATCTGGGCCAGGAAGTGTGGGGAGTCCATCCATTCTCACAAGAGGTCTCCAAAGAGACATTCCCAAAGAGATGAGCACATGTCAGCTCCTTCTTCACACCCCAAGGTGTCTCTTTAATCCTCCCAAGAGGCTTGACTGATCCTATAATCTCACATTCACTATCATCTGTGGGAAGGCCCCCAGGCTAGCTACTGTCACTCGACAAACAATAAGACACTGGGGTCTGAAGCTCAGTGTCCACGGGTTAAAATCCTCTCCCTACAATACCACCCAAGAAATGCTCACTGGCAGTAGGGTGCCACTGGAAACGGCAGTCCAGGACCGGCATATGCCTTCGTTGCTGCTTATGTTTGACAAACAATGCCTTGGATGTGATTTGGGAGACACTTTCCTGGCAATCATTTCATTTGATTCTGCCAACAATCCACCTTCAGAGTGGGCACCCAGAGAGTGCCAATGACTCGAGGTCCATCTCGCATAGTGGCAGGATTGAAAGGGACCAGAAGGCAGGCGTTTCAGGCCCTAAAAGCGGGCAAGACTGCTGCTTCCTGAACCCAGCATATCCAACTCTGACCCCAGGGACTGGGCTGGAAAATGAGGCAGATGCCCCGGAAAAGAGGAGACTCTAGCTCTCTGCCCAGTTTCATTAACTTTAGCACATATTAATCACCCACTGGTTCTGAGCCTACGTGAAAATAGGGTCCAGACACCCGAGATAACAGAGGGAACTGCAGAATCCATTAGGTAACTAAAAAGTGGCCTCCCCAAGTCAGCTTGGAGGTTCACAGGCCAAACCAGCAGGAGTGCTGAGTTCAAATCCCAAATCCCACCTGCCTTAGTCCGGAGCCCTGGGCCCCAACTCTCAGCAGGGGCTGGCCGCTGGACCCTAGAGCCAGTGGGATGGCAGGTCCCAGGATCTGGGTACCCTGGGGGAACTTCCCGGGGCAGCTCCAGGCAACAGAAGCTGTCCCACCTGTGCAGAGGCTGGAAAGGAAGGTTGGGGAAGTGGGCGCCGGACACTGCTCACTGACCTGGCCACTGGCCTCCTGTGTCTTCCAAGCTTGCACGCGCTCTGAGCTCCCCGGGGCGCTCCTCTGAGGTCTGGGGCTCGCAGGTTGTGGCGAGAGCTAGAGTGCGCGCGAGGGGGGAGGGGGGACTCCAAAGTGGGTGGGAGGAAAAACATCACCGCCCTCACACCACGAGGGAGCAGCGGCTCGCGAAACTCTGACTCCCAGGGCCAGAGCCAAGGCACGGGCGCGGCGGCCCGGGGCCACCTGCCCGCCGCTGCCCGATCCCCACTTGGCCGGAGAAGCCGAGTGTTCGGCGCAGGCGGGAAGTCTGCGGGCACGCAGCCGCTGCAAGCCAGCACGCCCTCTCCGCCCCGGCACAACGGCTTTATTCCCGCTCCCCCGACCCGAAAGTTAAGAAATCGGGAGAAAGTGTGAGGCTCAGCCGGCGACTTTCCCATCACGCAGCGCCCCCACTGCACCCCCCCTCTGGCTAAGCGAGCGTTGGGGTCTTAAAGGGACCGCACGTCTCCGCCGGCCCCTCCTCCAGCTCTGTGCTAGTTGTCTCTCGGAGTTCCCCACTGTGAGCGTCCGCCCTGCAGAGCCAGGCTCTCCTCAGACCTAGCTGCCTGAAAGCCCGCAGCCGCTCTCCTCCAGCACAGGGGCCTTTCCGGTAGCACCTGGTCTGGCCCTGCGCTGATGCTCCGACGCAAGAGGAGCTGGCTTCGCAAATGTTGCCCCAACAACAAGCTGCTTATCCTTGGGGTCGTTTCCTTAATCCTGGAAAAATGGCTGGGAAAGTGACAAAGCTTTGATGTCCTTCAAGGCTCTCTCTCTCTCTCTCTGTGTGTGTGTGTGTGTGTACAGAGAGAACACCTTAGAAATCTGCTTTCACCCACAAAGAGGACTCCTCAGTCGCGTGAAAAGGATCTCTACCAACTCTTAAGGGTCTTGAAGATAACTTGGGAAGGCTCACATCAGCCACCACTGTTCTGGCAGTCCCTAAGGTCTTGAGTTGGGCCAAGAGCCAACCTTGAACTCACAATAGCACTGCTGATGCCCTGCTGAGCCTGAGACAGTGTAGTCCAGATTTGTGTTTATTTTATGAGTGATAGTTACAAAAAATGATGAGAATCCTCTGAGAGCCCGAAATGGCTGCCTTGACAGACAGTACCCATTTGTATTTTAAGTCCCTAAACTTAGGAGAGAGCTATAGTGCTTTTTTCAACATAGGACTGGATAGTATCCATATTCCTAACATTTGTATACCACTTTATGACTTAGAGTACTTTCATATATATCATAACTTTTTAAACTCTCAGAATAAACTAAACTGTCTGTGGCCTCAAGTGTTGGATGATTCAGCTTAACCTCTTCAGGTCACAGAACAGGAAATTGATGGAGGAGAGGGTGGGGATTGCAGAGGAGGTGATGTATCCAAGGACACACAGCTAGTAAATGATAGATTTGAGATTTCCTGACTTTGGAATGGAGAAACCCCAGTGGGTTAAAACCTGCTACTCTCTGGTTGTTACCTCAAGCCTATAGGTGAAAAAAGTCATGCTCCGAGAATTTGTGGCTTGCTAAAAACTTATTGGGATCAGAGAACAAAGGAATATTAAAACAAGAATAATTGTCCTGAAAGAGACCTGCTTTTCTTTTTCAGAAGTGTTATAGCATCCAACTCACCCCTTCTTTTCTGGAGATGTTTATTTCACTGTTAACAAAGGAAAGGGGGCCCTTTCTGAAAAGTTGCCTTAAGGGACCAAAATGTCAAGTTCCATCCTGCTGCCTGGGTCGCCATACAATGCCACATGCATCCAATTTGTGCTGTAGTATATTAGTGTGAACTTGTTGATGTGTTGCCTTGTAAATATTTTCATGTCCTGCAATGCATTGATGGTTTTGTCTCACTAGTTCTTTGAGTTCTTCAAGAGCAGTAACCATTCAGTTTCTTATATCTGTATCCCCCCCCCCAACTACTATCATCACTCCCCACATGCTCAATGAGTAACCAGGAAAATCAGTTTCAGGAAATATCCAAGGACAAACATCGATCCTAACATTTAAAACCAGCAGACCCACTGAGATTTAAACACTCATTTATTTGTCTACAATGGCTAGCTCTCCTTGTTAATGCAATATTCTGCTCACTACATAACAAAATCATCCCCAACCCTTGTGGCTTAAAAGCATAAATCAATTTATTATAATCAAATGGCCTTTTTTTTCTGAAAGTTTCTTTATTAGTGTAAATGCTGGTGACCCTTGTATAAGTCCCAGTCTTAATTTCTGAACTGGGAACTCCAATTTCTAGTGAGTCCCAACCTTGGTTCCTGTACCAAGTCTTATTCAAGCTAAACTACATTTTTTAATGGGGAATTATAGCATAAATCTCATGTATACAAAATATTTTTATTGTGAAATAATTGCAGATCATACAATTATAAGAAAAACTCAGAGCAATCTCTAATATCCTTCACCCCCAATTGGTCACATCATACTGTTAAGGGAAAGGATGTCCTAAAGGAAATCTGCAGAGTCTTGTGGACTCCACTCCCTACTCCAGCTTTCTGGACTCTATCCCCTCTAGAGTGATTGGAAACTACAACTCCCAGCAGTACCAGGGAGAAAACTGTGAGGACCCAAGGGCGAAGCTAGCAGGAATTCTGGGACATTGGGGGATAAATAGGGTGTGGTTGCCTCTCTCTCTCTCTCTCTCTCTCTCTTTCTCTCTTGCTTAGGAAATGGCTCTCCTGACTGCCTGACTTGGTGTTTTCAGTCAGCAGAGCAGGTAAGGTATTCCAGTTACTTTGTATCCTGCTCTCTTTCCCTGGGTTGTTTCCTATTCCTTTCCCCTTTTTTAAAATAAACCGTTATGATCCTTTTTTGTGTGCCTGCAGTATAACTGAATTTTGAGTGCACGGTTGAGGCCCCACAGACAGGAGGCCCAGTCCACTCTGAGCTACCCTGTAACAGTTTATCTAGCAAATATCAGAGACATTGACAATGATAATACATCCACTTTATTCTAGTCCACCAATTTTACATGTGCCCATTTGCTTGTGCATAGTTCTATGAAATGTTGGCATATGTGCAGTATCCTGTGCCCACATATTCAAGGTACTGAACAGTGCCAACACCACTAAGATCCAATTTCAAATCTTTTCTAGTCATACCTTCTATCTTCTCTCCTCACCTTTCCTTATGCACCCCTCTCCCCACCACTCAACTAATCTCCATCATTATAATTTTGTCATCTAAGAATGTTACATGGATTCATACCAAATGTAACCTTTTGTGATCTTTTTCACTTAAGGTAATTCTGGGGAGCTCAGTTCTAGTTGTTGCATGTACCAAGTGCTTGTTTCTTTTATCTCCGAGTAGTAGTCCAGTAGTAGATGCTAGTAGTCCAGTAGTAGATGCACCACAACTTGCTTAACGATTCAACCATTGCGGGGCAGCTATGTTCATTCTAGATTTGGGCAGTTACAAATAAAGCTACTATGAACATTTGTCTACAAATTTACATGAACATAGTAGCTATGTTTCAGTTCTTTGGGACAAATGACCATCCAACAGTGCAATTCCTGGGTTCTATGGTTAGTGTATGTTTAGTTTTGTAAAGACTGCCATATAATTGATACCCAATGTCAGCCTCAGTTTCCCTCAGCCAAGAGAAGGAAACAGAGTTTGAGACTAAGGAAAGTACTTGAATTTGTTGAGAAACTGAGGAGGGCAGCACACTTCTGTCAAAAGACCACCATCCTGGGCCCTCCCTGGTGGCGCAGCGGGTTAAAGCACAGCAATGAGAATCTAAAGCCGCTTCCGCATGAGTTTGATTCCCGCCTGCTCCGGAGGTGACCACATGGCGTGGCAGACCTCTCCTGACCCGCCCACTGCTCCCCTCAGCAGTGTACTTCGTCAATCTGCCTGTTCTGCTCCCCACTCTGTCTCTGGTGAAGCCTTTCGCCGCCCCTGAGCCTCTGGCCTGTACCCCAGTTCTGTATGCACAAATAAATAAATCTTTGGAAAAAAAAAAAAAAAGACCACCATCCTCCTCTTTGGCAGAGTGCAGGGCTATTTATACAAAGGAGTAAAACAGAAGGAAGATGGCAAAGGTCACAAGTCTTTTTGATACAGGCATATGGAGATTTGTGGTGGGTAAGGGCTTGCTTTGTAAACACCTGATGTTTATTTTCCCTAGATGTTTAATTTCTTTATTATCCTCTTAGGGATATCCTTCCTTTCCCTAGAATGCAAGGAGATGATCTTATTAAATGCAACAGATAGGAATGTTTATCTGATGAGGCAGGAAGAAAGCCCTGTTTCACTGCATCATACTTTTGGAGAATGACTATATTATTTTTATAGCTACCAGCAATGTCTGATAGATCCAGTTTCTCTGCATCCATCAGCATGTGTTGTTTCTATTATTTTCAGTTTTAGTCATTCTGATAAGTATATAGTGATATCTCATTGTGGTTTTAATTTATATGTCCTGAATACTGATGATGTTTACAATTTTCCCCATTTATTTGGCATCTGTAACTCCTCTTCAGTGAAGCATTTCTTCAGATATTTTATACATTTTCTAATTAGATTGTTTTCTTACAGGTGAATTTTGAAAGCTCTTTATATATTATCAATACTAGTCCTTTGTCAGTCTGACAAACTCCCAGACCGAGTTTGTCTTTTCATCCTTTTCCCATGGGCTTTCATAGGAAAAAAGGTTTTTTTGTTTTTTTTTAAAGATTTATTTATTTGTACATACAGAACTGGGTTACAGGCCAGAGGCTCAGGGGCGCTGAGAGGCTTGAGAGGCTTCACCAGAGACAGAGTGGGGAGCAGAACAGGCAGATTGACGAAGTACACTGCTGAGGGCAGCAGCGGGCAGGTCAGGAGAGGTCTGCCACGCCATGTGGTCACCTCCGGAGCAGGCGGGGATCGAACTCATGCGGAAGTGGCTTTAGCTTCTCAGTGCAGTGCTTTAACCCGCTGCGCCACCAGGGAGGGCCAGAAAAAAGGTTTTAATTATGGTAAAGTCCAATTTATCAATTTTTCCTTATGGACCCTGTTTTGATATTAAGACTTAGAACTCTTTGCCTAGCCCTAGTTCCTGAATATTCCCC